CCGCGCCGCGCTCAGCACGACCGCTCGCAGCCGCTTTTGCATCTCACCCTTTATTAGAACAGTCCCCGCAGCTGTAACCCCGTGACGTCACAACAAAATCAATCGCTCCCGTTATCGGACACGCGAACCGCGCGCTCCCGTTCCGCGCAGCGAACGGGTTTTAGAGCTCCCGCTGTCGCGCTCGCGTTAATTTGGTTTTGGCAACATAACGACATAACCTTAATAATCGCATCGACGAAACGGTAACCGAGAGGCCTTTTTGTGATCTCCCAACTCATTATTCGGGACAAACACGTGGACTTTTCATAGCACGGAGTGACAGACAACTTTAGGATTAGTAGCACTCGGGTTACTTAAACATGAAGAAAGTTATCGTTCTAATTTGATTACAACGCAGTACAAATTACGTATTACCTCAAAAATCATTGCCTGTATCAAAAGTTAAAAATTTAGAATAATTTATAAAACACTTGCACAATAGCAAATTATCAGTCTCGATGTGGAAAATGCACTTTATGCCAATGAACACGCAGACAGATGCATTACAGTAATACACTACATATTTGTCAGCTTTTTTCCTTGTTTTAAGAAGGAAGAGCCCAGTTCTCCCTGCAGTTACACAGGTACAACACATCTGATCATCGTAACCGAAAGCAGAATCAGCCCTACTCCGAAGTTCACTACACCATAAATTAAAGCTATAAAATAATCTGCTATTAAAAAGGGAACAGTCTTGCATTGTTTGTAATCATTCGCGGCACCACAATTGTCACGCGTTTCCTCCTGGGCCACAGAATCTACTTTCATGATCTGGCAACAGCAACGGGGAAATTGTGTGTGCTGCATGGCGAAGTTCAAACACATCCGACAACTTTTCTGCAACTCATTTTATATCAGCCAATTGGAAATAAAGAGAGTACTGTTTGTCCTGTTCAGCCTTTCCTCTTTTGTAGTCTCCATGGTGTGAATAAACTCCGAAACGTAAGCCAGGTGACACAACAGCCAGTAAGGCACTTTGTCAGAGAGGACACAGCTGTCCGGGCCGAGCAGCTGTCAAAGGGAGACATTCTATGCCACGAAAAACAGTCAGGCTATTCTTCACAAGCACTTCTCTGACAACCCATTTTCAGAAGAATACTTACTGACTGTCCCAGAATCAGCTTGACGTTGTGTCCGCCAAAATGTTTTTCCTGTTCTACAGCAGAACATGCAACAGTAAAATATTTTGTACTTTTAAATACTAATGTTTAAAAGACTATTCAGCATCCTTGTAGCACCCAAGAATCAGCTGCTGAATACAAAAAAAAAAAATGCCTCAGCATAAGAAATGATCCCATCTTTCTTGTTTCTTTGCTTTGTTTCTGGGGTCACTTTTTAATTTTCTTTTTTTTTTTTTTTTTTTTTTTTTACAAAATTTGAAGGCTTGACATTAAAACTTTGGTATAAAACATGTAAATGAAAGCCATTCATTAATATGTCGTAGAGAGACATCATGAATCTTACTAGAACTAAACCAAACATGATTACATGGAAGCAATAGCAAATGTTTTCTACTGTCTCTTGGCTTCTACATTCCGCTTGTCTGAGATCTCCAAAAGAGTTCTTCCTGCCCAGGTAAAAGGATCTTTCTGCAGAGCCACCCTGCCCTTCCAAAGCTTCTCCCCAGAGAGGAGGCGCCCACCCAAGAGCCGGGCAGGACCACCACCAGCCGAGCCCTTTGTGAGCGGGAACACGAGGGGCTCGCGCCAGGCTCTCAGTTCCACCATCTCCTCCTCTCCTGCACTTCAAGCACAGAACAAGAACCAGCCTTTTGTCCCAGGGCTGGCCCGTGCCTCGTGGAGCGGGTGGGAATTTTGTCACTAACTCCTTGGGCTCAGGAGCAAAGCATATATGACATATTTTACCCTGTTACAGATAGCCACATGTTCCACTCTAGAAAGTGAAGACTGGAATTTTAAATTTTATACTAAATCAAGCAACAAAGTAACCGTCCAAATCCATAAACGTCACTACTAGTAACTCCTGTGTGGTGCAAGCCTGCAGACTCTGGCCCACAGGGTTAGTTAGGAACCATTATAAGAAGTTAGTCTTAAAATATTTAAAGTTATTATTTCCCAAGTAAATACATTAATTTCTACTTAATTCATTAATAGCAATTTATTTTTAAAAGCCAATTTTATATTAAATCATCATGATTTATATATTCAATTTATTGATCACAAAATCTACATGGTATTGCTTTGTATTTTCACAGTTCTCGCATCACTAAGAAAATGGCTTTTAAATTTTCTTCTCAGAAATGATGATCACTTACATTCTAAATAATTTCATAAAATAATGAATGGAGCAAATTTATACATATATATTTTTACTGTATATAAATAATAATACAATTTAAAAGTTTCGCTTTTAGAAATTCCTTTAGTAAATGCATAGGTTTGTTACAAAAGTCTTCTAATCAAATAACTGTATACTATTTCTATTATGTTTTATTCTTAGTAAACTCTATGGTTACATTCATATGATAAAAAACCACGCTGTATTCAGAAATACGCTTTTTCAGTTGAGCTCCAGTAAGACACGCAAGTCCAGTAGAAATATAGATTACTTAATGCAGTTTCTTTAGCTACAAACTAATCACACAGTAGTATTAAAAAAAAAAAAAAAAAGAAAAAAAAAGCTTTAGCACATGGACTGTAATCAGACCAGCAGCTTTTTTCATCGCAGAATGGTGACACATACCCCAAAAAGTTACTGACTTAATCCTTGGAAGATTATTAGAATAATGGGGGGTTGTATATTCAATGCCATGTGCATCATGAGAAAGGAATGATGATGATGATGCAAAACTTTATCAGTTAAGGGTCCAATTTTTTCCAAGGTAGGTTTCTCAGCCCTTTCTGAAAGTCGGGCTTACTAAGGGCATCTCAAGAAGGGTTGTCAAGAACTGACAGTGCCCACAATCAGCAGCTACGTTTGAAACGGCACAGCTTTTGTTCTACGGTAGTTGAGTCCTAAACTGAACTACTCGTTTCTGCTTCAGGGGAAAGGGCTACAGTGCCCACGGGATCACCGAGGATGCGTACCAGTATCCTGCCACTTGCACCACAGTTCACAGCATTTCAAGATCCTGCCATGCCCCACTTGCAAGCATGTGGGTGGCAATCACTTGTGCATCAACATCACCCCAGACCTGCTGCACGAAGGACAGCATTTCTGCCTTCGTAGTGATCACAATCATTACAACTGGAGCCATAAGAGCAAAATCACTTCGGGATGTGGATCGTCAGTAAATTTTCCCCTAAAATTTGCATTCAAATAATCTGGAAAAGAATTTGCCTTTCTCTTTGTGACACCAACGGACTCCTGGGGCTAGAAAAGCATTTCCAGGTGCTGAACTCCTGTGATGGATCTGGCAGAGGTATCGCACACACCTCTCCTAAAAAGCGGACAGTAATGGAACACCTTATTCAATACAGTGGAATCCATGAAAACTAGGGGCAGGCCTCAATATGGTTGGGTCCTTGGGCATCCATGAAACTAATAAATTAAAACCTTTTCAGCTCAGCTCATGGCAGTAACAGACTTGAGGAGTACTCCAGTTTAAGACTTTTTCCATGAGCAGAGCTGTTACTAACTTCAGTGACAGTTCTACTAACAGGAGGGTCATAAAACTGAACAGAATGTTGATGTGCTTTCTACCAAAAGATTTTGTACTAACGACCGGGCAAATTTAGTAACCAAAAAGCAAACTAAATCTTTTGGAGCATCTTTCAGTAGCTAAAGAACTCATCTTGTACCGTGAGAAGACTCGAGTTCAATGTCTTAGTACCTTACTGTGTGAGCCACCAGGAGCCTGGAGACCTGCAGGAAGCGCACAGCTGGCCCTCGGCACCCGCATGGTCATTGCAACGTCTCGTTAAGAAGCCCTTCTGAGCCAGGCAGAGGCAATGGAATTCCTTGTGCATGTATATGGCCGAGACTTTCTTCCAAGGAAAAATAAGACTGCATTTGGTTTTCCTCTCAGTGAAGCTCAACTTCCTCATAATGTAGAACACCATCAGAGACTCGTTAGAGATAGGGGGATATTAACACAAGTGCATCTCTCTTTAGACATCGGCTAAAAATGATACATTCACCATCTTGTACCAGATGAAACCTCATTTGTGTGAACCACAAATCATGTCAAGTGCAGTGGCACCTTCTCTCAGTTACATCATCTTTTAAGCACAACTCACAGAAAACTTCACTTTAAGCAGTATCAACTATAGTCTTCTCTGACTGCCTTCTTTGGGACCTGCAGGGTACCATCATTTCTTAAAAGACACAGTTGTGGATGTGATTAAAATATCACTAAAAAAAAATGTAGGGAATCATTAATGCATGTATAATCACAGTTTAAATAGCTGTGAACCAGCTCGTACAAAAAAATACAATCATAGCACCATATTTACAAATTTAGTACCATCTCCTGCTTAACTAGAGAGTCTCGAACTATCTTTTTATGGCTAATTAGGTTATATGTTAGTGCTTCCAAAAAATCGCCTGAATTTCTTTTACAAATATACACTTATAAAAAGAAACATTATCAAAACTGCTGTCATCTAAGCCAGCAACTTGTGTTACAAAAGTTATTAAAACATCATTATAGACTTAAAAAAGCTTCAAATTTACATTTTCCTTTTCATAGGCACTCTATAAACTAAAACGTGGCCTTGTTTCAGAGCTGTTAGTTTAAGCATTTAAACTAGTTAAACGTTACCAATGTTGCTCATTTTTTCAGATATAAGCAAAAGGAAAAAAGAATCACCCATTACCCAGAAGCATCATTTACAGTTTTTACTTTTGCCTACTTTATACACGTTTTGCTTAAAAGTGACACTGTTTTGACGTTGAGGTTTAGTGCATGTTATCCCACTGCCTTCTTAGGGCTTAGCTCCTTCTTCCCCAGAATTCGGTGGAGGCTAGCTGACATGAAGTAGGGTTTTGCTGTAGATCCATCATTTCTTTCCAGGTCTTCACCTGAATTTACACAGCAAAAGCAGCCAAAAGAGCAAACAGCAGTACAACCACACACACACAGAGAATTGAAGAAAGGAGAGAGCAAAAGAACCAACATTAAAAAAAAATCTCAGTCAAGGCAATTTAGCTGTATTGTTAAGTTGATGAAAGACACTATAAAATTTCTGTTTTCTCAAATCAAAAGAGGTTTTACAGAAATCAGAGACACAGACATCTAGCCATTTTTAAATGACTGCAATATATCCTTTTTATTTTCCGTTTCTTTGGTTTGGCACTATAGATGGAAATTTTCAGGAACACGCCTCCACTGAAGCCTGGCACTTTGCCTGCACCTTGCTAGGAAATTTGTCCCAAAGGGAGCTGTGGATTTAAGCACTTTTTAAAACCGGACCCTTTTTCACTGCCTAGGATAAAGTTCTGTTGAAAATCTGATGCCACGAGTGCACAATATTATATATGATCTCTCACTGTCCGTTACTGAATAGAAGTATTGGAAGCAAAACAGAATATGAATTGGAAATAATGAGGCAGACATACTACTTTTTTTCCAACAGAAGGTCATGACTAAATCACTGGTCTGAGTTCAGCCCAGTGTTTATGCCACGCAGTAGTCACAGACCAGTGAACAATTTCACACCGATGGGCAATCTGGAGGGAGTGTGCAAGTGAAGCACAGTCATTGCACCTGCAACCACGCAGAGGCAGACAGCTGTGTCTGCAAAGCCAAGACAGCACTAGTTGTAAGGAATGGCCAAAGAGGTTAGAGGAAGCAAATCTTCATGTATCTCCACAGCCGGATATTCCATGTGTCTTTGGAATAAACTAAAAAGAAAATCTGTTAACTTTTGAATGCGTGAACAAACTTTCTAAATTTTATTATTTTGATCAATTTCCATTTCATTCTAAATAATAGCTATCATTTATTTACTTATGGTTCAGCTCATTTCTTGGAGTGTTATTAGCACTATGTCTGCCTGGGATCACGATTGTTTAGAACCAAAGTCCATAACTTGAGATAAATAGGACGTTGCTCTCAACTAGACATCAATTTTCAGTTTTCTGACTGATTTTGTTCCTGTGATTCTTTGGCAACTGGGTATTTCCAGAATCACTGCTAACCTTAGTTCCTAGG